TCCCTGCCTCTGCCCCCCGCGCCAATCGACGATTTCGGCACACCTCTCACACGTTTCGTGGCCCTGTAGCTCCACCGCAGGCCATTGCGGTTACGTTCGCATGCGCCCACCTCACCAATTTCGGCACACCTCTCACACGTTTCGTGGCCTTCCATGGGGCTCCACCGAAGGCCTCAGTTGCTGTGTCCTCGTGCGCCCACTGCGCCCATTTCGGCACACCGCTCACATGTTTCGTGGCCCCACAGAGAGCTCCACGAAGGCCCCATGGCTGCGTTCGCATGCGCCCACCGCACCCATGCCCGCACACTCCTCACACTTGTCGTGGCCCCAGGGACCACCGAAAACCCAGTGGTTGCGGTCGCATGCGCCCACCGCGCCCATGTCGGCATACCCCTCACACGTTTCGTGGCCCTATAAGGATTTCCGCCGAAACCGCAGTGGCTGCCCTCCATGGGATTCCACCGAAAGCCCCAGTGGCTACGTTCGCACGCGCCCACCGTATCAATTCCTGCACACCCGTCATGAATTTCGTGGCCCATGGTGAACTCCAACGAGGGCCGCACCGCAGTGGTTGCGTTCGCATGCGCACCGCCCCGATTTCGGCACACCCCTTCACATAATTCGTGGCCCCATAGGGAACTCCACCGAAGGTTTCAGTGGCTGCGTTCGCATGCGCTCAGAACACCCATGTCGACACCCCTTTACACCTTTCGTGGCCTTACATGGACCTCCGCCGAACACCGCAGTCGCTGCGTTCGCGTGCGCCCGCCGCACCCATTTCGGCACACCCCTCACGCACCCATCCCATGTCGGCACACCCGTCACGCGCTCCGTGGCCCCATAGGGAGCTCCAGAGAAGGCCCCAGTGGCTGCGCTCGCGTGCGTCCACCGCACCTATTTCGGCACATCCTTGACACGTTTCGTGGCCCCATAGGAAACTCCACCGAAGGCCCCAGTGGCAGCGTTCGCATGCGCCCGCCGCATTAGTTTCGGCACACCGCTCACATCTGTCGTGGCCCCACGGACCACTGAAGACCCCAGTGGCTTCGTTCGCAAGCGCCCACCGCATTAATTTCGGCACACCCGTCACACGTTTCGTGGCCCCATGAGGAGCTCCACCGAAGACCCCAGTGGCTGCGTTCGCATGCGCCCATCGCGCCCATTTCGTCACCCCCTTCGCACGTTTCGTTACCCCATAAGGAGCACCATCGAATGCCCCAGTGGCGGTGTTCGCATGCGTCCGCCCCACCCATTGCCCTCACACGTTTCGTGGATCCATAGGGAGTGCCACGGGAGGTTCCACTGGCGGTGTTCGCATGCGCCCGCCCCGCCCGTCTCGGTACATCCCTCACACGGTTCGCGGACCCAGAGGGAGTTCCACCGAAGACCCCAGTGGCGGTGTTCGCATCCGTCCGCCCCACCCATTCCGGCACACCCCTCACCTGCCGTGGCCCCACAAGGAACATCACCTGAGACCCCAGTGTCTGCGTTCGCATGCGCTCATCGCGGCCATTTTGGTACAATCCTCACCCGTCTCGTGGCCCCATAGGTAGTTCCGCCGAAGACGATACTTACAACTGCGTTGCTCACAGCTGCAGATGGATAGGTCCTTCGCCAGGCTAATTGTTGACTCGTGATCGTGGCTTCGGGAGCACGGCTGCATGGTTTTTCAAGAGGGGTCGTGGCCTCGGGAGGGGGGGCGGTGCATGCAGGGAAATGCTCAGGGGAGGGTCCCTTATGAGAGTACAGAAGCCCTACCACACATCCACGCCGCAGCGTGCACAAGGCACGGTGGCGGATTTAGAACAAGTACGCTCACCATCCCTTGCGGCAGGTTCGCTCCGCGTTGACGCGGTGAAGATTCCAGTGTGGGCGTTCAATGTCGTGGACTGGAGCCGCATGGCGTCGAACGATCTGCTATCGGAAAGCCGCGCCACGATCCACGTGCTGTCAGAAACCAGCGCGCAGGTCATCACGACGTGAACTTGCCGTGTGGCCGCACGTGCTCCTCTCGCTGGCTTGATAGCATGTGCAACTCGTTTAGGAGCGTGGCCTTGAGGTAAAAAACGAGTTGCTTCCTCATCGTTCCCCTTCAAGACGGGACTGGAGAGGCAAAACGTCTGCAACAGCGGCCCAGCAGGCCGGTTCTGCCAGAAGTGCGGGGAACCGGCTGTCTGGGCGATGGTGTCGACAGCGGCTTCGAGAACGCTGCAAGAGAGGCCAAGAGCTCCAGCGTTGAGCGCGGTGCAGAAAGTGCGTAGTAGGAATAGGAGGAGCAGGAGGGTGAGGAGGAGGAGGAGGAGGAGCAGGAGGAGGAGGAGAAGGAGGAGGAGAAGATGCCAGAAGAGGAGGGGAGGAGGAGGAGGAGGAGGAGGAGGAGGAGGAGGAGGGAGGAGGAAGGCGAGCAGACAGGCCAGAAGCAGCCTCTTGGATGCCTTTCAGAGTCTCTTCGGCTTTCTTCCGAGAGCTGCTTGGAGTCCTCTTGGGGCATGTTGGGCGTTTCTTGGCAGTCCTTGGGGCCTCTTGGAGCGTCTTGAGTGCCTCTGGGCGGCCTCTTGGGATCTGTTGGGGGTATCTTGGGGGCCTCTTGGGGCCCCTTGGGGCTTCTGGGAGTGCAGGAGGATGAGGAGGAGGATGAGGAGGTGGAGGAAGAGGAGGAGGAGGAGGAGGAGGAGGAGGAGGAGGAGGAGGAGGAGGAGGAGTTGGAGGAGGAGGAGGAGGAGGAGGAGGAGGAGGAGGAGGAGGGGGAGGAGCCGCAGCAGATGGAGGCAGTGCAGGAAATGGAGACGGATGACCAGATTCATGTAAGAGGAGGTGCCCACTTATCATAATCACGCGCTTGTGCTGCCCAGGCTCTGTGCTATCACAGCGCAAGACCTTCATGCCAAGTCCAGCTCCTCGCCTTTGACGTCCTCGGCCAGCCAGCCCGGATGGCACATCGAAAGCCCTAGTGCGTGTTTGGATAATCGCCGGGGGCGCAAAGATGTAGGACCGCGCTTCGCGAAATGGGCCGGGGAGCTGCGCTTCTCCAGGGTAGTCGCGCGAGAGCGCGAAGATGACCGCGCGGAACCGCGTCCATCGTGGCTACGGCTGGATTCGCCTCGAAGTCCGTGTCAAAAGCGCACCCTGGCAGAGGTGCAGCGAGCAGCTGTAGTTATCGGTAACGTTGTGTTTTTCTGGGGGGTCAAATGAAGCATCGGCGCTGGTGTATCCATGGCCGAAAACTGGCCGCATCATCTTATTTAAGTAAACACATCTTGCCGAATCCCCACTCATCGGGCTTAATGTTGGGCTGAATGAATTTTGGCAGATCCGGCCTTCCCGCTGCCCACAGCGGCCCAGAGGCTTCCCAAGGTGCCCCAAGGCGACCGAAGAGGCCGCGAAAGCAGCCCCTCCCAGAAGCTTCAACACGGCCTGAAAGAGCTCCCAGGCGGCGTCAGAGGGCCCCAGAAAGGCGTCCAATATGGCCCACCTGTGTTCGTAGAGCCCCAATTTTGGTCCAAGAACGCCCCAAGACAGCCCGAGATGGCATCTAGGAGGCCACGAGGCCTCCTCCCAAAGCGGCCCAAGAGAGGCCCGAGAGCGCCCGTCCAGGGAGCCTGCAGAGGAATCTGTTGTGGATTGTCAAGAGGCTTTTGTTCCCAACCATCCTGTGGAGTTGAGAATCCTCTTTTTGAAGCGACAGCCCCCGCGTCTGTTCTCCTCCTCCTCGCCTCTCCTCCCCCCTCCTCCCCCTCCTTCCCTCTGCTCACCGCATTAGTCTACGATTTCGGCACACACCTCACGCGTTTCGTTGCCCCATAGGGAGCTACACCGAAGGCCCCAATGCTGTTTGCATGCGTACCCGCCGCCCATGTCGGCACACCCCTCACACGTTACGTGGCCCCCATGGGGACCTCCACCTAAGTCCCCAGGGGTGCCGTTCGCATGCGTCCCCGCCTCCCACTTCGGCACACCCCTCACTCGTTTCGTGGCCCCATAGGGAGCCCGACGTAAGGCCCCAGTGGTGCCTTTCGCACGCGCCCCCACCACCCAGCATGGTTTTAAAGTCCCGTGGTTGGGGGTCATTTTACGGTCCCGGTCCCGTGGGGATAAGTTTAAGTTTCAAGGTCCTGTGGGGGCCTTTTTTTAAGGTCCCGTGGGGGTAATATGAAAGTCCTGAGGGGTCCCTTAGGGCCCTGCTTGGGCCCTCAAACAGAGGTTACGCGACTGTCACGAAACAGGTGTCGCTAGGACCCCATAACGCATACAGGTGGGTTCCTCTTGCCGGGCCAACCAAACAAACCTGTCATACACAGCGTTTGCGCTTCCTGTCAAGCGCTTCCTCCGAAGAGGCAGGCATGATGACAAGATCAAGCCAACTTGAGCCAAGAGGGGCTACTGACGAAGAGAAATGAGAATGACGGGCGAAAACGAGCGGGGCAAAACAAGAGAGAGGGACAGAGAAATGACAGAGGGAGGAGGAGGAGGAGGATGGGGGGGCGAAGAGAAGCGCGACGAGGAGTAGGAGTAGGACGGCATACAAGGGGCGAGGGAAGAGAAGGGGAGATGAGGAAGAGGAGGAGGATGACGATGAGGAGGAGGAGGAGGAGGAGGAGGAGGAGGAGGAGGAGGAGCAAAAGGAGGAGGAAGAGGAGAGGGGAGGAGAAGCGTGACGAGGAGTGGGAGGAGGGGGGCATGCAGCGGGCGAAGGAAGAGAATGAACGAATAGAAGGATAGTAAAAAGAGGTGGGCTTATCAGGCAACGTTCAATAAGAAACCCAGAGTCTCGCCACCAATAGGCGGCCTGGCTCTGCAAACGTAGAGGAGGATGAAGATCATAGGCCCTGGGGGGTCGCGGGGGGGGGGGCAAGCATATATATATATATATATATATATGTATATATACATACATACTTAGACACATCCATATGTATAGGCATACGAGTACAATGTACATGTGAGGGCGAAGTGATGATGCCATAACGTGTGACAACCTCGGAAAACATCGGATCTGGATTTGCTTGGGCACTGGTGGGGCTACAGATATCCATAACCGCTGCCTGCTGGGATACTGGGAAGCCAGCTGCCAAAGTGATAGTGGTCGGCAGTGTTGAATGCCAGCTTGTGATGAAGGAGTTCCCTTAGAGAGGTTTCCGCAGCCTTTGTGAATCAAGGATTGCATCAAACAGGCACAGTCAAAACATACGCGTACACATCTTTTCTTACCCATACATATTAGCGCAGTTTCGTTTGTGAACGATGCGCCCTCTCTTGGTCGCAAGCTTGGTCGGGGCCCTCGGCGTCAGTGGCTTGGTCCCTCCAGACGACCTCAGACTGTTTCAGACGTGGAGCTCCGGCCAGCCACCGCAGTTGCTATCAAGAGATGATCGACTGTCGACACAGAAACCCGAGGCGTCCAAGATGACTGCTACGACACAGTCGAGGGATTCATCGGGGAGGGAGTTCTTCACGTATGGTTCTGTGCCCATCTACGCCGCTTCACCCATGAGTGGCGCCGCCGCCGCCGCTGGCGGAATCGCGGTGGCGCGCCCGTGGATCATCATGTTGGAAAGCGACGCCTTAGAGGAGGAGTCCGTGTCACTGAGCAAGGAGTTGCCGAATGGCCTTGCGACGCACGCGAGCATGGGCGAGGTGCCCATGGTGATGGGTAGCTTGGATGTCGGTAGTCTTCACTCGTTCATCAACAGACACCCAGGGCGTCTGAAGTTTGTCGTAGAGGATCGGTGGCAGCAAAGGGTGGACGCGCCGGCCGCGCCGGTCATCGAAGAGGTTTCGAATTCAGAGCGGCGGACCTACCCATGGGGCATCCAGTACCTCAATGCGGACGTGGTCCGTGGGAAAGGCGCGGGAGTGAGCGTGTACGTGCTGGACACTGGCGTTCGCATCACTCATAACGAGTTCGGCGGCCGTGCCTTCGCCGGAGTGGACGTGGCCGCCTCGGGGACGTACCCAGGCACTCTCACAGTGTGCTCGCCGTCCAGCACGACGTGCGCTGCCGACCAGCATGGGCACGGCAGCCACTGCGCGGGAACAGTCGGGGCCTCGACATACGGCGTCGCGGATGGCGCTTCTATCTACGCCATGAAGGTCCTTAATGACGCAGGCTCGGGCTGGACCACATGGTCCATTCTAGCCGAGCAGTGGATTTTGTCGTCTGGGAACAGGCCAGCAGTGGTCAGCATCAGTATCCAGGCCAACTACAATGACCTCGCAGAGGAAACCTCCATTGACAACCTGGTGGCCGATGGCGTGACCGTGGTGGTGGCTGCAGGGAACGCCAACGCAGACGCGTGCACCTACAATCCAGCTTGGATTTCGTCAGCGATCACCGTAGCTGCTTTTGGTGGGGCTTCAGGGAGCTCATGGGACAGGTCTTCGTACAGCAACTGGGGCTCTTGCATTGATGTGTATGCTCCGGGCACGAACATCCTCTCGCTGGGCCCACACAGCAACACCCAGACCTATTTCAACACGGGCACATCAATGGCCTGCCCACACGTCGCCGGGCTCGTGGCCAGGATGTACGAGGCGTATCCTACGGCGGGGTCCATGACCGCCGCGCAGAGGTGGGATCTCCTGACGGCCACGAACTGCACTGGCTGTGTCACAAATGACGCGACTCCCACACCCACTGTCAACCTGGTGGCCTTGGCCACTTCCTCTACTCCCGCGCCTATGATCTCGCCCACTCCCCCGCCTACGCCATCGCCTACACCACTGCCCACGCCCTTGCCCACGCTCTCGTCTTTGACGCCCTTGCCCACGCCAGTACCTACGCCCTCGCCTACGCCAATGCCCACCCCCTCGCCCACGCCTTCGCCTACGCCGTCGCCTACAGCCTCGCCCACGCCTTCGCCTACGCCATCACCAACTCCCTCGCCTACGTCCTCGCCAACGCCCTCGCCTACGCTTGTGCCCACGCCCTACCCCACGGCGTCGCCCACTCCCTCGCCTACGACCTCGCCCACGCCGGCACCTACGCCCTCGCCCACGCCTTTGCCTACTCCAGTACCTACGCCCTCGCCTACGCCAATGCCCACCCCCTCGCCCACGCCTTCGCCTACGCCGTCGCCTACAGCCTCGCCCACGCCTTCGCCTACGCCATCACCAACTCCCTCGCCTACGTCCTCGCCAACGCCCTCGCCTACGCTTGTGCCCACGCCCTACCCCACGGCGTCGCCCACTCCCTCGCCTACGACCTCGCCCACGACGGCACCTACGCCCTCGCCTACGCCCTTTCCCACGCCCTCGCCGACACCCTCGCCCACGCCTTTGCCTACGCCCTCGCCCACGCCTTTGACGCCTTCGCCTACGCCCTTGCCCACGCCCTCGCCTACGCTTTGGCCCACGCCCTTGCCCACGCCTTCGCCTACGCCGTCGCCTACGACCTCGCCAACGCCCTCGCCTTCTCCATCACCAACTCCCTCGCCTACGTCCTCGCCGACGCTTTTGCCCACGCCCTTGCCTACGCCCTACCCCACGGCGTCGCCCACTCCCTCGCCTACGACCTCGCCCACGCCGGCACCTACGCCCTCGCCTACGCCCTTGCCCACGCCCTCGCCGACACCCTCGCCCACGCCCTTGCCTACGCCCTCGCCCACGCCTTCGCCCACGCCTTCGCCAACGCCATCGCCTTCGTTATCACCTACTCCGAATCCCACGTCATATCCCACGCCCTTCCCCACGCCCTATCCTACACCTTCGCCTACTCCGTCGCCTTCGCCGGCACCTACGCCCTCGCCTACGCCGTATCCCACGTCAAAACCCACGCGCTTCCCCACGCTCTATCCCACGCCCTATCCCACGCCCTACCCCACGCCCTACCCCACGCCCTCGCCTACGCCCTATCCCACGCCCTATCCCACGCCTTACCCCACGCCGTATCCCACACCCTATCCCACGCCCTATCCCACGCCTTATCCCTCGCCGTCTCCCACGCCTTATCCCACGCCTTATCCCACGCCCTATCCTACGGCCAATTCGTGCAGCAAGTACTCCTCCTGCAAGCCTTGCCAATATGCGGCGGGGTGCTACTGGTGCAGGTCAAATTCGTGGTTCTCTGTGTACTCTGGCCAGTGCCTTTCCACCGGGACGATCGCCTCCTGCTTGTGGATGTCCCCAACTTGCCGTTGGAGGTGGTGGTACTATTTCACTTGGAGGTTCCGCCTCCGGGTCAGGAGAGCATACTCATCGGCGTTCATCGGAGACAGCTTCGTGCGAGGAGCCTTCGAACGCTCCGGCCACTCTCGGGTGTCTGCCCTCCCGTCCAGTGCTGTCTTGTCCGTCCAGCTCTCTATTCCAAGTCTCCGCATGGTTGCCTCGGACACAGATGAGATGGATGAGATTGAGGTTGAGTATTCCGTAGCAGTACCTGGCGACGATTCGGACGGTGTCGAACAGCAGCAGGTCGACTCGCTTTCGGCAGACTTGGCGCAGGTCTCAGCGGAGGAGTACACGCAGGACTTCGTATCGGAGATGAGCGGTGTGGCCGGCGCGGCGGCTTTCGGTGTGGAGGCGGTGGCCAATTCTGCTACAGCCCCTACGGTGACCACGGTAACAGATCCTCCGACGCCGAGTCCGACGCCGAGTCCGACTCCGAGCGGGGCTTCTGCGAAGGGAGATCCTCATTTGGTCAACGTCTATGGCCAGCGGTTCGACCTGATGCAGCCTGGTCTGCACTCATTGGTTCATATTCCGAGGCTTGCCGACGCCGTCAGCACCCTTCTGGACATTCGAGCCGACGTCCAGAGGCTTGGGGCCACCTGCGCAGACATGTACGTCCAGTCCATCAACGTGACAGGTGCGTGGGCCTCTGTGCCTGAGCATCCATCCGGCATATTCTTCTCGGCTGAGAAGTCGTCACAACATCCCGGTTGGCAGAAGCTCGGCCAAGTCAAATTGAAGGTGATCCAAGGCCACACGGAGAGCGGCATCGCATATCTCAATTTCCTCATCCGCAGCCTGTCGAAGGTTGAGTATTCGATCGGTGGTCTCCTTGGGGAGGATGACCACACCGAGGCGTCGAGAGTCGACCTCAACTGCCACACGAGCGTAAACCTCTGAGGCGGGCCACTAGACGAGCGCTGCAGACTGGCGTTCCAGCCAGCCTCCACCGCTTGCTGCGCAGGACTTCCATACTTTGTGCCGAAGCCCGTCTTTCCGAGCACACGAGGTCCAGCGTTGACCATGACGCTTCGCGTACGTCCACCCACCAGCCCATCCAGATAGCAGCAGGCGACTTCGTCAGGACCGTTGTGCGAAGGGGGGGGCAGCGTTCCATCACCGTCGTTTCTTCCTTTCGAAGCTGATGGGGATCCCGAGGGGCGCCGTGAAGGCCTTTCTGGCCTGCTCTTGACTGACTGCCTCGTGACAGCGGAGAGGCACGAACACTTTAGGAGTCGACCATGAAGGCCTTTGCGAAAATGTCAGCGAAACATCGAGGGGGAGCCTTTTGGAGCATCGTGGGCATTTTTGGGGCGCTCTTGGGGCAATTTTGGGAGCCATCTTGGGGCTCCCTCGCGCCCGTCTTGGAGGCCTTCGTGGACCTCCAGTGCCGATATGGGGATCGTCGATCAAAAGGAAAGGTCGTGAACTAGCGTCCCACGGTGGGGCGTTCTTGAGGTGACATTGAGGCCCCTGTGTGGGGTCCTGGGCCTCTATCGGGGTTATCTTGGGACATCCTGTGGCTATCCAGCCGCCAGCGGCATACCCCGCCACCGTGCCTGTGCAACAGCGCAGCAGGAGTGAGAGGCAGAATGTAGGAACAGCGCAATTCGGACGAGCGGTCAGAACTAATACGGCTCGTGAGCTCGACGTGGTCCTTGTTCGCGTGGTCGGGGGAAGGCCGAGTTCACGCCCAGCTGCAGTTTAGCGTGCGGTCTGAACTGACTGAAGTGGGTCGGGATCTCGACCTCATTTTTGTTCCGTGCGGTGGAGAGAAGGATGATGCTGATGCTGATGATGCTGATGATGATGATGAGGAGGAGAAGGAGGAGAAGGAGGGGCAGAAGGGGCGGCAGACTGTATGTAGGCCTAGGCGTTCGTATGTAGCGTTTTCCAGGGCCGTTTTAGCAGCCACGGTTTTAGCAGCCCTCGCCCAGCTTTCGAACGCAGCTCCAAAGGAGCTATAAACCTAAAAATATGTGGACATCGTCTCGGCCTACGTATCAAGGGAGCTATAAAGCTGAACATATGTGGAAATCGTCTCGGCCTAAGTATCACGGGAGTAAGCAGTGTCCTACACATACAAGTATCAAAGGAGCTATAGACCTCAGCATCAAAGGAGATAAAACCTAATAAAGCATCAGAGAAGAAAAAACCGGTGAGTTTGTAGAAATACAAGTATCAAAGGAGCTATAAGCCTAAGAAGACGTGGAAACCAGACTAGAAAAACCACGCTCTGCCTGTGCAGCTCCTGCTCCCTTCGGCGCCCTCGGGCCGGCAGGGGCCGGCGGGAGCCTCCTCGCGCGCGAAGCTGCTGCGGAAAAGACGCCGAGGCAGGCGCGCGCAATGCCGCGGGGGGCGGGGGATGGCCACGGCTTGAGCAGCGGCCCGCCCTCGGTGCGCAGCGCTCGGGTGGGGGAAGAGCACACAGAGACACAAGTAATCGTCGATCCCCCCCCAAGAAAGTACGGGAAAGTACTGGAAGTGGGGGGAAGACAAAACTCCAGGAAGCATGGGAAGTGGGGGGGACGACAAAAACCCAGGAGGGGGAAACGCACACAGAGGCACAAGTAATCGTCGATCCCCAAGAAAATCGGGTATGGCCAGGACTCCATGTAAGGGGACCTGGCTAGTGGTAGGGCCCCGGAGCCTTTGAGGTGGCCGGAATCACTAAACCAGGTTTGCCATAGCTGGTGTTTTCTCGGTTGACGGCAGTTCCGGCTAGTGCAGGTTCCAACAGGACGAGCGTGAACGGCGCCGAGGCGAGAGCCACACTTGCCGCACCCCGGGTGTTGACCTGCGCTTCCGTCGTCGCCGTCGTCGTCGTCGTCGTCGTCGTCGTCGTCGTCGTCGTCGTCGTCGTCGTCAAGGTCGCCGGCGTGGTCGTCGTCGGTTTCGTCGGTTTCGTGCTCGTCGTCGTCGCCGCCGCCGCCGCCGCCGCCGCCGTCGTCGTCGTCGTCGTCGTCGTCGTCGTCGTCGTCGTCGTCGTCGTCGTCGTCGTCGTCCTTGTCGTCGTCATCGTCCTCGTCGTCGTCCTCGTCGTCGTCGTCGTCGTCGTCGTCGTCGTCGTCGTTGTCGTCCTCGTCGTCGTCGTCGTCGTCCTCGTTGTCGTCGTCGTCGTCGTCGTCGTCGTCGAGGACGTCGTCGTCGTCGTCGTCGTCGTCCCCGTCGTCGTCGTCGCCGTCGCCGTCGCCGTCGTCTTCGCTGCCGTCGTATCGTCGTTGCCGTCGTCGTGGCCCTCGCCTCGCCTCGCCTCGCCTCGCCTCGCCTCGCCTCGCCCTCTGTCGCCCGGCAGGGGGCACGCGCGTGCCGCCCCGTCCCGCCCCGGCGCAGAGGCCAGCGCGCCAGCCGCCCGGGCATCGGCCTCTGCTGGCGCCGAGGCCCGTCGCCGCTCGCGCTGCGCTGCGCGCGCTGCGCTTCTGCTCCTCCTCCTCCTCCTCCTCCTCCTCCTCCTCCTCCTCCTCCTCCTCCTTGCGCGCGCGCGCCACGCGCGCGCGCGCGCCGCGGCCACTGCAGCAGCTGTCGCCGGCCGGCGGTGTCGTCGTCCTCAGCGCCAGCGGCAGCGCCCGCCGCCGGCGGCCCCCGCCTGCGCCCGTCGTCGGCGGCGCCTGCCAGCGGCCGTCGTCGGCAGCGCCCGCCGCCGGCAGCGCCCGCGATCGGCGGCGCCGTCGTCGTCCGCGTCGGCGGTTGGCGTCGCCGGCGTCGTCGGCTGCCGTCGTCGGGCGGGGAGGGGGAGGCACCACGGCGCGGAGCGTGCGGCGGCATCGCTGGGAGTTCGACGCGTGTTGGCTGAGCGGAGGGGCAGAGGGCTAGCGTCAGGCTGAGCGTCAGGCCGAGCGTTCTCGCAGATCGTCAGGCTGAGCGCCAGGCTGAGCATTCTCAGAGATCGTTAGCGTCGGGCTGTGCGTTAGGCTGAGCGTTACGCTGGAGGTCAGAGCGTTAGGCTTAATGAGGGTCATGCATCAGAGCAGCTGCCCCTCTCCAAGATAGTCGGTGCGAGGGCGCGAAGATAATCGCGCGTCGCGCATCGCGGGGCGCGATGCGCGAAGTAAGGTGAACTGAGGTAGTGCGAGGTGCAGGGAGGCGGTGCAGTCCAGCGTCGACTCGTGGAATCCACACGCCCCGCGGGTTTATGTTTGTGAAGGAACTGTGCCATGTGGCCAGTCTGGCGGCTATGTTGCCGCCGTCGCCGCCCCGTCGCCGCCTCGTCGCCGCCCGTCGCCTGGGCCGTGTGGTCGGTCTGGTGGCTATGTTGTCGCCGTCGCCGCCCCGTCGCCGCCTCGTCGCCGCCTCGTCGCCGCCCGTCGCCTCCGCTGGGTTGCACCGCGTAGGTTGCACGAAACAATGCCGTGCCTGCGGCGCGCTGTGTGATCACGCACAAGATGGGTCTCCTTTTTCAGAGAGGTATAGACTCTACCCCCCACCGGGCTGGAAGAGAAGCCGCTCCAGGCCACCTACGCCCAGAGGGCTGATGGGACGCTCTCCTCTCTCTCTCCTCTCTCCTCTCTCCTCTCCCCTCACTTCTCTCCCCTCCCCCCCTCTCCCACTCGTCCACCATCGTTGATGGGTCTTGGGTTTGCACTGGTCCTCCTCCTTCTCCTCCTCCTCCTCCTCCTCCTCCTCCTCCTCCTCCTTCCTCTCTCCTCGTCCTCCTCCTCCTCCTCCTCTCTCTCTCCTCCTCCCTCCTCCTCCCTCCTCCCTCCCTCCTCCTCTCCTCCCCCCTCCCTCCTCCTCCTCCTCCCTCCCCCCCCCTTCCCTTCTCCCTCCTCCTCCCCCCCGAACGAGCCGCGCCGGTTACGCGCCGGCGTCCGCGCCCCTGCCGGCCTCCCCGCGCGGGCGCGCGCCGCCCTCGCGCGCGGGGGCGCGCGGCCCCATGGCGGCTGCCCTCCGCGGCGGCGCGGCGCCCTCGGGCGGGCTCCGCCGGTAGGCGCCGCCGCCTCGGCGGGCCGCCGCCGCTGGCGAGGGCGACGACGACGACGACGGCGACGACGACGACGGCGACGACGACGACGACGACGGCGGCGGCGACGACGACGACGGCGGCGGCGGCGGCGAGGCGGCGGCGACGGCGGCGGCGGCGGCGGCGGCGGCGGCGGCGACGACGACGACGACGAGGGCGACGGCAGCGGTGACGACGATGACGGTGGCGACGACGGCGGCGGCGGCGGCGTCGACGGCGCGGCCAAGGCGACGACGGCGACGACGGCGACGACGGAGATGGCGGCGCGACGCCACGGGAGAGTTCCGATGGGCATGCCGAGGAAGGGGGAGGGAGGGAGGGAGGGAGGGAGGGAGGAGGTTAAGGCCGAGGTACAGGAGATCGGGGGCGCATTGGAGGAATTATACTGTCAACACGCGGCTAATCACCCACGATGCGACGAGGTAGTGGGCGAGGCCACCTCGAAGGAGGGTCGAAAGCCCTTTGAAGCAGGGCGTGGAGGGAGAGAGAGTGAGAGAGCGAGAGAGCCTCGCCTGCTTCGCCGAAGCACGCACGGAGCCTGCCGCAAGGGCACGTCGTGCTGTGCGCAACCCAGGTAAGGTGAATCGTGCAGGGACGCTGCATAAAGCACTCTCCAGATGTGGGAGCCGTGAGGGTGACGGCCAGGAATGAAACCACCAGCTCTGCGGCCTCAGAGAAGAGAGTCGTCGGAGCAAGAAGTAATCAGGAGGGGAAAAAACACACAGACATCAGGAAATTATGCAAAAATATGGGAAGCGGGGGGGAAAACAGAAATCCAAAAAACATCGGGAAATATGGGGAATCCTTTTATTTGTGTGTATTTATTTGTGTGTCCTGGGGCCCCTTCAAGTAATGACGATGATGCGTTCCAGGATCCCCCAGGCCTCCTGCATCTCCTGCCGCCCCTCGCGCGCTTCAAGATCGGGGGCCGCCGAACGCTCCGGAGTTCCAAGAACGTATCCTGAGCCAGCATCTAGGGTTAAGTCGGGCCTGTCCCTCTATAGGGGGAATATACAAAAATAATCAAAAAATAATCTGGGGATATTATCTTTTGAATATTTTGGGGCATATTTGGCGTATTTTTTGAATATTTTGGATTAGTTTTTATTTTTCGTCCAAAATCCCCCTGTAGGGGGACAGGCCCGACACAAGTCTAGGGGAACGACAAATGACATAAACATAAAAACTGGGAGGTCTTCGCGGATTTCTTGGATCCGCGCTGGGCCCCCCTCCCTGGCGCGCGGAGCGCGCCAGGGGCGGCGCCGGAGGCGGCGCCAGGGGGTCCCAGCGCCGATCCGAGAAATCCGCGCGGACCTCCGAGTTATTCTGCTTATGTTATTGCTCGTTCCCCCAATCTTATCACGACGTCCTTCTCGTCTTAGAGGGAGGCCCGAAACAGCGACGGCGGCGACGGTGACGGCGGCAGGCGCCACTCGCCGGCGGTGTCGTCGTCGTCGTCGTCGTCGTCGTCGTCGTCGTCGTCGTCGTCGTCGTCGTGGTCGTCGTCGTCGTCGTCGTCGTCGTGGTCGTCGTGGTCGTCGTGGTCGTCGTCGTCGTCGTTGTCGTCGTCGTCGTGGTCGTCGTCGTCGTTGTTTTAGAGAGGCCCATAGCAGCGGCGGCGGCGACGACGACGGCGGCAACGCGCATCAGCTATACGGATGCGGCGCCGGCGGCGGCGACGACGCTGGCGCCGTGGCGCCGCAGGCACGGCTCTGCAGGCAGGCGCCACTCGGCGGCGGTGTTGACGTCGTCGTCGTCGTCGTCGTCGTCGTCGTCGTCGGTTTCATCGTCCGCGTCGTCGTCGTCGTAGTCGTCTTCCTGTTCTCCTTCCTTCTTCTTTTCCCCTGGCCCTTCCCGACGATGCCGCTGCCACCCCTCCCTCCTTCCCCTTCTCTCTCGACCTCCTTCGTCCCTCCTGCCTGCCTGCCTGCCTCATCCTGCTGCTCCTCCTCCTCCTCCTCCTCCTCCTCCTCCTCCTCCTCCTCCTCCTCCTCCCTGTCCCTTCTCCTGCACCTGCTCCTGCTCGTCCTCCTCCTCCCTTCCTTTCTCTTTTGAGGAACTCCTCCCTGTCGCACCCCGAGGCAGTCGGAAGGGCGGGCTGGGCGTTTCGCTTGAGACTTTCTTACCATTCTTGAAAACGGGCAGCAGGTTCACAGATGGAGGGCGGCTGGCTTCCTAAATGTGGCTCTCGCCGTAGCGCCGCGCACACTCGTTAAAGAAAGTTGCAAGAGTTTCTCGGATTGAGGGCGGGTGGTTGACAACATGTGGCTCTCGTTTTAGTGCCGCGCACATTCGTTTTCATTATTCAAAAGAGTTTCACGGATTGAGGTCGGGTCGTTTTCAAAATGTGGTTGTCGTCTCAGCGCCGCGCTCATTCGTTTAAACCATTACCAAGAGTTTCACGGATTGAGGGCGGTTCCTTTTCAAAGTGCGGTTCTCGCTTCAGTGCCGCGCCCAGTCGGCTGAA